CTCTAAAAAAGGACTAATATAAATGCTTTTTTTTCTAAGTAATTAAAATGGATTTCATATTTTTTGTTGAGGACCCAAAATATATTTACCCTTACATTTAGGTGATGTTTGGTAGCCGAATTATTTATGAATACCCGGGAAAGTATGGTGGGGACAACATGAAACCCACGTTTGGTTGTCCAAAACGTCAGAAATTTCCATGGAAATATGGTTTCCCGATCTTCTTTTTTGTGTGCAACTTTGTGTAAATGGAACTAAAAAACAAAGTACGATTTGTTGGACGAAATTAACCCCGTGATGATGTGATAGGTGAAGAAGAGGAGTTCGAAAGTATCTTTGTGTTGTACCTCATCTGCTCCATCCGTCTTTGTTCTCGAATGTCAGGAAGATGATCTACTCTACCGTCAAAGCTTCTTCCAGGTGACCTTGGTTATCTCTTTTCTTGTTTGTCTTCGTTGTATGAGGCTTGCATGTTGATTTCTTCCATTTAACCACTGGGTCGACCATTTTGCTGTGTCTCCATGTCCATATTCTAGAAAGACAAGCTTTCCATTTTGCATGTCCTTCCGTTATTGAACTGATTTTTAAAATCAGTTTAGTTATTCTTTAAAAATGGGTTTGATTTATAAATTAATTTTTAAAAAATGATTATTTTATTATATTTATGTTTTGTGCATGATTAGATTCAATTTTTTAGTTATTTTGCTAATCCCTACCGTTAGCTAGGGGTGCTAAACAAGTCAGGGGCCTTACAGGGGTCTTTGGCTCGGCTCGTGAAGGCATGAATTTACATGTCTAAAATTGATTGTTGAACCCAGGCTTGGACTTGTATAAAAGCTCGTTTAATAAAAAGGCCTCAAAAGCTCGGCCTTAGAGCTTCTCAGGCTTGCCTCATATATTATTTTTTTAATTTTTTATACTACTTGTAATAGCCCTCTGTCTCTTCTCAATTGATTTCATCACATTTTATTAAGTAAACAGATTTTTTAAATGATTTTATTTTATATTATGCTATTTGGATATACATTAAATTTATAAATATTTATGGAATTACTAGTGCTGTTGATTGTATATTTTGTTTGAATAAATTTTTGTTGTCTTATTATTTTTAAACAGGTTAAACAAGGCTTTTATTTTTTGTAAATGAGTCATACCACAAGCTGATATTATATTCGTAACAGGTAACAGGCTAAGACCAGTCTGACACATTTGAACACAAGCTCGATCCGTTAAGACCAAAGCTCGGCTCGGCTCGGCTCGTTAACACCCCTACCGTTAGCTACACATTGTTCCAGAGTCTCCAAAAGAATGTTTGAAGAAATCAAAACACCATTCGTCTCAAAGAATCGAGAAAACCTCAATACCAATATATTAAAAAGCTAAATATTGAAGAGTTAAATTCAGCAATTCTTCGTGAAATGGAAACGAAGCATTTAGGACGTTTCAGAGATATTCTCAAAAGGGAAAAGAAACTTTGTAGAAGAGGGTTGAATGTAATTTGGGAACGAGTAGAAAATTAGGGATTTTAAAATTAGAAATTTTGGATTTAGAAAAAGTATGAGTTAACACTCTTATTTAAAACTTTAACTAATGTGTCAAACTGTTACAATCACAAACTATAAGGATGTTGATTGATCAATTGAAAATATACGGTGATTTTTTGAAATCTAATCAAAGTATAAGGGGTAAACGAGTTAAATGAATTTATTTGATTTATATTAAGGTCATGGGTTCGCTTTTTGTCATGTGACTTTTTGTCATGTCACATGATAAGAGGTTTTTATCTGCACACACAAATCAAGTGTGAATTTCACGCTTTAAAAAAAAAGTCAAAATTCTGAACCGTATCTTATTAAAAAAGTCAGGATACGAAACCGGATCCTGTTACAAGATGAAACTGTGTAATTTCTATAACATGACAAACTGATTTTCCTAAGTTCATATTATATAATAAACATTTTTATTTACAATATAATATTCTTTACTTTTTCTTTATCAAAAAAATCCTGGGTCCACACTATTCATAAGATGCCATTCTTTTTTTTGTGCACATTCAATTTTGATTTTGTCAAGATTTGAAAGCTTTTCATTTATGATTTGAAAATGGGAAATGTATTTTTCTTGTTGTATGAGATAATTTTATCTAATATAATACATAAATATTAAGTGAAATTCATTAAATAGAAGAGAAAAAAATAAAAAATGTATTCTATTTACTTTTTTATTTTTTTATTTATGCATGAGATAAAATTATTTCATAAATCTCTTTAAAAATAATATATTACAATCGTTTAGTTTTTCCTCTTTCGAGAGATTCATAGAATGTTTAGTTATTTTTTGTTGGTGACTTGACAAAAAATAACTAATATTTTATTTTTGATCGTGTTTGTTCATGTTTTGGGATTATGTTTTCCATATATATTATTACAGTATGTCATTTTTGTATTTTTTTTGCTATTTTTTCATTTTGTTTTCCTTTAGTGGCCACGTCACTTGAGTGGTTATAACAGAGTTGGTTATTGCCTTCTTTTGGCTCCATATATTCTCATTCTTTTGTACAGACCAAGTGAGAGAATGAATATATAGAATTTACTTTGTTTTTCCTTCATTCTTCAACTGGGAATGCTGATTTGTTATTGTTAATATGGTATCAAATGTTTATTGATGGCTCGGGGCAACAATCAATCGTCCTCCATCTTCCCCTGATCATTCCTCCAACTCTTCCCCATCATGGATGATGCATCTAGCCCGTATTTTCTGCAGAGGAGTGACCACCTTGGTCTAGTTCTTGTGACCCACACTCTCGATGGTACCAATTACAACTCCTGGAGTCAAGCTATGCTTCTGGCACTCACTGCCAAGAACATATCTTGTTTCATTGATGGATCTGTTCCTTGTCCTCCAAATTATGATCTCTTGTTTTCGGCGTGGAATCGTTGCAACTCAATGGTCATTTCATGCTTCCTTAATTATGTGTCCAAGGCCATTGTTGACAGCTTGGTTTATTTCCCTAATGCTTCTGACGTCTAGGAGGATTTACGAATTTGTTTTCAGCAAGCCAATGGTCCACGTATCTTCTAGCTGAAATAAGAAATTTCTTCTCTTCACCAGGGGTCCCTTGACGCCAATTCTTACTACAAGAAACTCAAAACCCTCTGTGATGAACTTCAGGCCTACATTCCCACGCCACCGTGCACTTGTGGTGGTTTAAAATAGCTTTCACTCTCACAACAACTACACGATGCCCTTCAGTTCCTCATGGGTCTCAATGAATCCTTCTCCTCAGTGCGAGCTCAGATCCTTGTGATGGATCCATTTCCGTCAATTGCTCGAGTGTTCTCTCTCGTTCTTCAAGAGGAATGACAACTCCAAATTAATGTCACACTTCCTACTTCTCCTCCCTTCGGAACTCAATTTCTACTTCTTCTACCCATACTTTACCCCATAATTCGAACACCACCTCTTCTCTTGCGACAGCTACCGCCACCACACCTTGGCGTTCTCGACCATTGCCACACTCACGGCCATGTACAAGACAAATGTTTTTGTTTTCATGGGTTCCCACTCCCACTTGGGTATAAGCCCAGATCTCCCAGGCCCATTTCTCTAACTCATTCGGCCCAACCTCCCTCAGCCTCGGCCCACACCAATTCCTCTATCTCCCATTTGCCCCAAATCGATCCTTCAAACCCTAATTTCCCTTACTCTAATTTTGCTCCATCTCCTTTTTATACACAAAAATATTTTTGTTTTTTTAATAATTATTTTTTAATAAAATAGTATTTTTTTATGCAGCATTAATAGGATTAACAATTACCCATGTAGAAAGTAATGAGATAATGTCTAAAAAAAAAAAGTAATGAGATAGTAAATGAGCTGTCTGCCACCAACAATTGTTCAAATGTTTTCTCACCCTTTAAAATTCAAATTCAAAATTCAAAATTTAAAATTCAAATTAAAAACAAAATTTAAAATTCAAATTCAAAATTCAAAATTTAAAATTCAAATTAAAAACAAAATTTAAAATTCAAATTCAAAATTGAAAATCAAGATTTCAGAAAGCAGTGAGATATTATTAATTTGGAAATTCCAATGCAAAAAGTAGAGGGACATTAAATGAGTTGTCTGCCACCAACAATTGTTAACATATTTTCTCAATTTTACAAATTCGATTTTATTTAACATTTTTCTTTTTATTCTTTTTTACCAAAGGAGGAAAGGTTTTAAATATTTTTTAGTGAAGGAGAAAGTGACACGTCAACAAACTTACCAAAAAATGGCGTTGCTTTAAAATATAAGATTGGTTTTTTTTTCCCCTCATTTTGTTTGTTGCTGTCCTGATGTTTCTAAGTTGTAACATAAGTCACAATTTTTTAAGTAAAATATAAAAAACAAAAAATAGATGTTTAAGAGTAACGGGTATTGGATCATGGATGAGGAACCATTTCATAAAGCCCAGTCCATCGTTTCTTCATAAGTTTTCTGCACAGAGTGAAACTCTAATTCATTGCTTTCCTTTTGTTAGCTACAATCGACGCCCTCAATTTTTCTACTAGGTAATCATCTCTGCATCATTTTTTTTTTTGTTTTTTTCCCCTGCTTTCATAATCTTCTTTTTCCACCTCAAAATCAAAACCATCTCCTTTTTTTGGGCATAATGCAGTTGATTGCTGGCAGCAGAGAACAACTGGTGAACTTATTTTATAGTTGTTCGTTCTGTGTTTTAATTTTAGCCTAGATTTAACTTAAATGGGAATTTTTCAAGGTTTTGCTTCAATTTTTTTTTAATTTTAATTTAAAATGTAGTTGTTCCCTTCAAATAACGAACCCATTTTGCAAACATGCAAATTTGATCACAGATCCAACTTTTTAGTTTAATTTTTGATGGCTTCGTTTAAAAATTATTCGTTTTTGCTTTAGGGTAATTGAATTTTCCATTGAAATTATGTGCATCTGGAGAATTTCAAAATAATAGTGTACAGGGCGTCAGGCAATTGTTAATGAAGACGAAGAGACATGGAGAAGAGGAGTGGGAGAGACATGGTGACATGCCTGATGGTGTTCCGGGTCAGCTAATGATGATGAAGACGAAGAAACAGAGAGAAGAGGATTGGGACAGGCTCAGTGACTTACCTGATGATATTCTGCTGCATATAGTGAAATTGTTAAGCACAAAACAAGCTGTTCAGACTGGTTTCTTATCTAAAAGGTGGAAGGACATTTGGAAATGTGGTCTCACTAATCTCAAATTCAGTTGGGCAGACTTTTGGGATGTTGCCAATTTTAACAAATGTGTGTCTTTGGTTCTGTCTAGTCAAAATTGCTCCTCCTCCTCCCTGCACAGTCTTGAGTTATCTTTCTGCTGCTTTATTAGATCTAAACCCGTTGACCGCGAATTGCAGAGTAGGGTCATTAGATATGCTGTACTTCACAGTGTTCAGCATGTGACAATCGACATAGAGTTGACATTCTCACTCACACCCGAATTTCAGCTTCCCCCGATCATGTTTTCCTGCCCATCTTTGACATTTCTTAATATTTGCATTGATAACAAACAAAAGATCAAACTTCCCAAATCTTTCCATTTGCCAGCTTTAAGAAGCTTGTATCTTGCCTATGTCACTTTTACTGCAAGTGACGACAATGACTGTGTGGAGCCTTTTTCTACCTGTAACATGTTGAATACTTTGGTCATTCAATTTTGTTATTTGGACTTTTATGCACATGTCCTCCACATTTCTAATTCTAACCTTTCCAGTTTGACCATACGCCACTGTCATGCTTATTACAAAATTGCACTTAGTACTCCAAATCTCACTTCTCTTACTATCAGAGGCACTCCTATTCTCCAACTATCCTTCAAATGCAATCTTTCTTTTCTTGATGAAGTATATATTGATGCAAGTGCAAGGTTTGAAAGGGTTTTAGATATTGACACCAGAAGGAAGAGAGATTTAGTCATCATAAACTTGCTGCAAGTGCTCGCGAATGTAAAGATAATGACACTTTCTTCAAATACGAGACGTTTGGTAGAGGAGAAATTTTTTTTGTCCAAGAATCTCGATTTTCAAAAATATGATTTTTATATTCAGTTTACGATAATATCCAGAAATTTAAAATGTAAAAAAATTCAGTTTCCCGATAATCCGGCCGAAATCCTTGTACTAAACACCCCCTTAGGATAATACAAGATGTAAGTTATTTTAGTATATTTCCTTCTCTTTTATATCAAGATTTATGCCAATATTCAATCTTGCATTTCATAATTGAAGGTATATCACCAGAAACGCGGAAGCGCATCGTACCGATGTGATGAGAAATGAAGAACACCGCTTTAATTACCTGAGATGAAGCAGCGAGCGTGACAATTTCTCACGTTCTGTTCTCCTCCTCAAGCCTCACGATCTGCAGCAGCGCACCACGAACGGTCGCAATTCCGCTCTTCGGTTGATCTTCCAGGCTATGACTCAAGGGGGATCAAGTGGTCGTGTGGGCAACCGTTCAGATGATGAACGTCTGCCTCTTTGTGTTTCTGATGTCTGTAACCTCAGGAGGCACTAGAGAGAAAAGAAAGTTTATATACTCTGCCCAATCCAAGACTAACCCTAAGTTTCATGGGTTGAAATTAGTCTTTTTGGGCTCACTCTCACTAAAGCTATTGGGCTTAAGTGAAAAGAGTATATTAAACCCAACAATCTCCCACTTGCTCTTTTAGACACAAACTTGAGTTCATAAACCCAAGACTATGTAGCCCATAAGCCATCATCATCTGATTATACAACCTATCCCTTGTCTCGAGCTAGCTTGGGGATCTACCATTTGTCAATTCATCAAGGCTCCTGATAATCTTTGAAAGATTATCTAATTCGGCGCTACTCCACTAAAAGCCCAAACGTGAACTCCAAGGTTAATGACCTTTATAACATGAATATGCATCGCCCTTTTGTAGAATGTCTATAATTGATTGACAAGTTTTCTGTAACTCAATCAATTATTTATTCCCTTGACTATGATAGTTTCTCTAATGGATTACATGCACTGGCCAGTGTCTTTAATATCCAAGTACCGAAACATATCAAGGGGACATATCCTACAAATTCCATGTTGTTTATCTCATAAATACCGATAATCAAATAATCTCACTCCCAAAATACCGAGTTATTGGCCGTCAATAGATCGAACCTCACCCGTTGGTAAATCAAAGAATGAAAACTATTTGATTACCTATTTATAATAAACTCAGGATTAAGAGCAATCACATAACTATAGTTAACTGGAGATTTGATACCTTATGACAGAAAATAACTTTAATCAAATCTCTCCTTGATCCTTTCAATGTGAATGTTAATTCACACCAATATTTTACAATGATTCGGACAAAATCATTTCATAAAATATTGCAGCCTGAATAAAGTGCCCAACTTTATTTAACGGCTGTGGCTCCATTCATCAATTGTGAGAACCTATGATCATGTCCTCCATGAACGTATCCATATGATCATATACTCCACAATTTGATCCGGACCTTTATGTTTGTAAATAGTGCGCAAAATAAATAAATAAAACCTTATTTATGAAATTCAGAAAATTATTTTATTATTTCATCGTCTTACTCCAAGAGCACAATGAAACCAATAACTCCCACTTGCTTAATGCAAGTCTGGGATCCTCCTAAGACCCAAAGAAGTAATATGCCTCTCGAACACAAGTTCAGGCAAACTCTTAGTAACTGGGCCTGCAAGATCCACCTCTAATGCTATCTGAGTTTAGTGAAAAACTCATAGCTCGAGGTTGATTTTCTTGAGTCAATATCTATTTGAAATAACTGAATTTTTGAAAACTCAGATTTTCAAGACTCCCACTAGAATATATCAGCATATAATCTCTCGTTCTCCAAAGATACTTGAGTACATGCTTAACAATAATCTAGTATTCCTCTAGGTTCAAAATGGTACTATAACACTACTCCCACTGCGTGACAGATGTCTGGTTTAACGCCCAACATGATATGCATGAGTCTACTTTTGCCAAAGCATAAGATATCATGCTCATGCATTCTTCCTTCTCAGGAGTCTTTGGTTACTCCTTAGGAAGATGAATTCCACATCTGAGAATTTATAATTCTTCTCTTAGAATTCTCATGTTGAATTTTGGCAAGAGTTTTGTCAATGTAAGTAGCCTGAGGTGATGCCAACAACTTATTCTTCCGGTCTCTTAAGAGTTTTATACTAAGAATATAATTGGCTTCCCCAGTACTTCCATACCAAAACACTAACTTAGCCAACTCTTTATGCTTGATATTACCTCCACATTGTTTCTAATAAGGAGCATATCATCTACATAAAGTACCAGAAAAGCTACTGTCTTCCGTTGTATCCTTTACATACAAATACACATCATTCATCAAGGTTCTCTCAAAATCAAAATTTTGATAACCTGATCAAAACTGATGTTTCAAGACCTGGATGCTTGCTTAAGTCTATGAAATAGACTTTCACAACTTGCATACCGTGTGTTTCTAATCATTTGCTATAAACCCTTTTGGTTGTTGTATCTAGATATCTGACATCCAAACTCCCAAAATGAAATCTCATAATTGAGACTTATAGCAACTAAGAGAATCTGGATAGACTCAAGCATGGCGTCTAACAAAAATTACCTCCAAGCTAGCTTTGAAGGTTTTCACCTTTCTGTCCATCCTCTCTTTGCCTTTTATGTCCACATGCACCTTGTGGGTTTTACCCCTCTTGGTGTATTTACTAGGACCGAACGGAGTTGAAATACAAGTATTTCATCTCATTGTTCATAGCCTGAGCAACACTTGATCAACAATATCTTCTAGTGCATTATCGTAACTAGTAGGATCAATATCACTCAACAAGAGACAACTTGAGAGTTAACAAGGTTCTCTCCCACTACGAATGTACTGCACTAGACCTTGTGTATTTATAAGTAAAACAAAGAGTGGGTCAAATGATGGATCTGCAATTTCTTGAGGATCCGCTTATCCTTGATATTGTTCCTTTACATGTGATACTAATATTTCTACTAGTTTCACTTATATATTATTATGTTGAATTTCCAATCATGGCTCTCTTGTTTGTTCACTTAGAGATATATCTATCCCCTCTTGAACAATCAAGGAAACAGTGGATGAAGCTTCTAGAGATTCTGGAAATTCTTGATCTGAGATAAATCTCATCAAGAATAACCTAACTTAAGAGCTTATAATTTCTTATCTAGTCCTCTTTTAAGAAAATCATGTGAGTGCTCACTTAGATTATCTTGTCCTTAAGACTAAATAAGAAAGCATCCCTAGTTCTCTTAGTGTAGCCAAAAGATATGCACTCTTCCATACAAGATTCCATCTCATTTGACTGCTGTTGTAGGACGTGTGCCGTAGCACCTTAAATCTGAATATGGTTTGATCTGGGCTTGCATCCTTTCCATAATTCTTTAGGTGTCTTTACAACAAACTTTGACGGAACCAAGTTAAGAAGGTTCATTTCCTTCTCTTAGGCATCTCCCTTGAACAAATTTGACAAAGATGAATAACTAAACATGATCTTCACCAAGTCTAGAAATATTTGATTTTTGCATACTGCAACTTCATTCAACTAACGCGTTCTTAGAGTTGACAGTTACGGAAACTATCCCCTCTTAAATCAGGTAAGACCTGAACTTACCAGACAGGTAGCCAACACTTTAGTCAGACCAAAGTGTTTTGATTTGAACACCTACATGCTTTTCTGCCTCAAACTTAAACCTCTTGGAAATTTCCAAAAGCTCTAGACTTACGGCGCACTTGGTTCATCTGTCCAAATCCAGAGTAAACATTCATATAATGAAGTACTCATCACCTCTTCTGGTCTGAACGCTAATTGGTCCACATGCATTAGTATGTACCAGTTCCAGTTGAATAGTTGCGCAAACCTTTTAGGCCCTTGTAGGACTGCTTGGCCACTTTACCTTCCAAATAGGACTAACATGTAGTTGTTAGTTAAAAGATCTTGAACTTTCAGTCCCTCTTTTAACCAAAACATATTTCCTACTTGAGATAATGTGACTCAATCACAAAGGCCAAAGTTATGTTTCATTTGAAACTTTTATTTCTTTGGTGAAAATCCTTATTCATCATCCTTTCCATTCAATACAAAAAATTAGGGGGTATAGGACAAAGGTAATAAAGACTATTTAAACAATGTACCAGAACAAACAAGACGAAGATGAACTTCGAAATGTAACTGAGGAATCAATTGCATTGTCAACCCATGTTTTAATCAAAACAACTAACAATAATTGAATCCTCTTGGAATCTGGAACAAATAAACAGTCACCTAAAACCATAGTTTTATGAATAACTTGTCCTATTGCAAATGCAGACACAAGTTCCCATTTTCAAGCTTAAATCACTGAGTAACAAACATAATCAGTGATTCCTGAATCAATGATTCATTCACTGATCAGGCCTTAATATACCCATGTCTGGTTCTTTTCATCACCTCTGGGCAATTTTTCTTTCAGTGTCCCTTCAGTCTGCACTTGAAGAACTTGCCTTGTGGCTTCTTCATAGCAACTGGTTTGACAACTGATAACCAAGTTATTTTGTTCTTGTTACCACCCTTGGGTTTTCCCTTGGATTTAACAAGACTCTTAGCAAAAACTGCACCGACTGCATTCTGTCTAGCAGAGCTGCTAGACGCAGCAAACATGTCATTAAGAGTCTGAAGCATTTCTACTCCACTCTTAATCATGTACACTTGCTTCTGCAAGTATTTGGAAAGACTGACAATAATATAGCAGCGAACTACCATATCTGCCCTTTCCCAATCTGAGAAATGCATCTTAGTTTCCTTAGACGCATTCTCTGCAGGTTGCTATGGCCCTTGCATTGTCAGGACAAATTTTAGCTTCCATATTTTAGAACAATATCAAAAATTTGCTTTTCACTTATTCATAGTTGGTATCATCTAGAGGTTTTCGACTCAAA